AGAGAGAAGAAAGTCTCAGCTGAAGGATATAGATATGGCAATATTCATATTTATATATATGTTTATATTATTATAATTTAAGATACTGTTGGAGTGTAACTCTGTAACAGGGGGTGATACAGGGTTTAGTTTGGTTTTGGCTTTGTTGAAAGAAATACGTTCTAGTGTAAGAAAAAGTTACACTTATCTTTTTTTTGTCTTTGCTAACCCTCTGAAATCTCAGAAGAGTTTGTGTGTAAACTGCAGAATACTTTTGCTGGTGTTTTTAATTTTTTTTTTTAATTTAGATTTAATAGTGATTTTATGCAGCCTTCTTTGCCCTTAACAGAAGAGAAAATCAAATGTTGCCATAATGGAATCATCTCCCTCCTGCCCCCTGCACCCCTGTGGAATGTCACCAAACCAAGAATCCGRCATTCATTTCCACCATTTTAGGGTGAAAAATAAAAGCAGACACACAGAGAAATTGTATCTGTTCTTCTCTCCTGTTTCTCATGTCACTGACACATTGTTTGTGAAAACATGAGGAGGGAAATCATATGCAAAGAGTGTGGCCTGTGAACAGATCCCATCTGACATCAGCATCGCACATGCTGTTCCCTGCAAGACAACTTCCTTRGAAAGCTGTAGCAAAGGAGCTCAACGGAGCAACGACTGAGCACAGGGACTCTCCCCTGTCTCCCTCTTGATCTTCATCCTTGGCAACTCCTTCTTGCTGCTGTCGTGTGGTTTCTGTTAAATTGTAAGGTCAGTCTGTCTYTGCTTACTTTGTCGTGCCTTATTCCCTTCAGCTTTTCTGACCGACTTCAGGTTGTACTGTTGTCTTTCTTCCTCATCTTTCTGTTTTGCTATTGATTATTGATACAGGGACAAAATAAACCTATTCCATGCYARTTTGCATGGAGCAAAGCAGATGATKTTATTGTGAATTGCTCAAGAATAGATCTTTCTGCCTTGTCGCCCAAGCAATATTCTGGCAGCCAGGCGTATTCTCTGCAACGAAAACACAGTCCAAACGATAGCAGGATTTAATTGGAAAATCAGATGTTCTATGACTCTTGATGGCTGATTTTCTGCCAATTATAAAGTAGGATGAGCTCCATTAGAATCACTACAATGCCTGACAAAGCCTTTTTTACAGGTAATTGAATGGCTGAATGGTGGAACTTTGGCCCCAAGTGGGTAAGAATCTCTTCTGAGGAGCTGTTAGTTTTATTTGTGAGCAATTTGGTGTAGCAATGCCACTCAGTTTACATGAGGCTCCAGGTCTGTTCCTGTACCTCCTGGCTTGGATCTTTGAATTRTTGATCTGCTAAAAACTGAAAATAATTCATTCAATTTGCAGCAGCATTGATTTTTTACAGTTCTTTTTAAAGGATTTAGAATGTTATGGGAAACAAAAAAAGGAAAACAAATAATGGGTGCAGTTTAAAGTTGTTCKTAATTTCTTTATTTTTTTTCTCATGGTTTTTGGGTTCACCAACAAGGGCAAGAAGAGGTGGAAAACTGAATAAAGAGAAAAACTGACCCTTGAAAAAGAAGCTCACATTTTTCAGCTCCAAAAGCCATTTAAAAAAAAAATAAAAGGGATGCTATTTTTTACAAATACTYTCTTTTGGAAAAGAAGTGAACAGGTGTCAAAGCTCTTCAATAGCAGAAATATATTTTATAATAGACTGGACAGTGAAAACATGAAGTTACAAAACAATTTTCCTTGTTCCAAGGAGCTAGTATATTAGTTTGCTTTTTTTTCAAATCACAGTAGGATTTTAAGGCCAGTTCCTCATTGATTTTTTGAGTATCTGCTGTGCTTTGCAGATTTTCCTTTTCATATGTACTGTGTTCTGTTCTGTGGGCTGGGATATTAATAGGATATGATTTGAAGTACTTTCATGAATCATGTTGCAAGCTACATTTTGCTATTCCTAACTATTRCAATACCTAAAGTTTTGAGGCAATCAGATGCCATGGAGTGGGGGCCAGGGGAAAGAATTAGGGCAGGAGAATGAAAGATTTGAATCCCTAGGAAATCACAGAACAGGYATTTGTTAATCACCTGTGTATTAGTTCCAGCCATCTCTATTTTTAGTATGTGTACTTTTCACAAGATTTTGCAGTGATAGGATAACAGGGAATGTCTTTAAACTCAAAGAGGAGAGATTTAAGTTTGATATTAGGAAGAAGTTCTGTACTCAGAGGGTGGTGAAGCCCTAGCACAGGGTTCCCAGTGAAGCTGTGGCTGCCCCATCCCTGGAAGTGTCCAAGGCCAGGCTGGACAGAGTTTGGAACACCCTTGGATAGTGTAAGGTGTCCCTGCCCATGGCAGGGGCTAGAATGACATGGGCTTTAAGGTCCCTTCCAACCCAAACCATTCTGTGAGTTCGTGATTTAACTTCATAGCAGCATTTCCCAGGCTTCCTGAATTAATGATTGTTAATGTGTGGAGAAATAAACGATTTATTATTATTAATGTGTTAAATTTGTTTTTCATTATTGTTGCAAAGTCCACTGAGGGAATTGCAGCATGGAAGACATTGATAGGCAGAGGAGATGTATAGCAGTACTCAATGGAGAACGAGCAGCAATGATCTGTCTGGGGCTTTAAGCGTAGTGATTTTGTCTACTCTGCTTSAGGCTGGAAAGCAGTTGTATCACAAGGTCTGAATGTTTTATTTGGAAAAACGGATCCATATCTTCATAGTGGCTMACATCTGAGCATGTGGGAATAGGAACTATGCCATGGATTTGCTTTATATCCAATCCCTTTCCACATCTCTTGCAGTGGCARGCTACGGTGTCTCCTTTTGTGTTCCAGCCTCTTCGTTTCTTCACCAACGCCAACTGATACCTTTTTTTCCCCCTGTTATAAAATCCTCTTTCCTCAGTAAACTCTTAATTTATTGATGAAAGCACAGTAGTTTTCCTCAAGCCAAGCCACACAGAACAGCTTCATCCCCTTACAGCTGTGTCGCACCTCGAGGTTAGAGATGCTGAATTCTGCTGGAGCTTTTCCAGGGCCTCCAGTCACTTCAGTGCTTTCAAGCTCTTCATTATGCTGTCTCCAGCTATACTCCGGCCCTTGTGTTTATTGATTGTTTTCCTTCTGAATCAGGTGGATAATAGCAAGCAGATTTTTGATTAATTATGTTTATATTACTTTCTTCATCGAGTGTTTCCAATCACTGTCTAGTGATGGCACTGTTGATCATTATCACTGATCTGTCCTGGACTCCTGATTGATGTTTACTGATTCCAACATTTGTTTGTCACTAGCTCATGACACTTTTCATTTTAAGAAGCATTCAGGAGTTCAGTAGGACATCTGAATGCTCTGAAAAGGAAYTGAAAATGTATGACTTGCTGAAAGAGATCAGTATTAATTGTACACAACACATTACTGAATATGTTGTTTAATTTCTAAATTTTGGTGTGCTAAAATAAAGCCTCATCATTTATACACAGTGATTTGGTTTTAGTTGMTGTCAGCACCACAGTTGGTGTCATTTCATGTTCTGCTACAGTGATCTCTCTGGTCCTCCTGAGYTTTCCTCTGTTGATGAAATCTTCCCCCCAAAATCATGAGTGTATCCCCACAGATAATCAACCTTAAACCTGTCCTGAAGTTTGTATGATGGAAAAATGTTATATATACAAGAAAAAAAATCCCAAATAACCACTGCCAGAAATAGGCAAATGTTGTCAGTTAATTTAGAAACTGCTTCTGAGCTTCTCTGAGATTTATACAGCTTTTCCCTCTTTAACAGTCAGGCTGGGGTTCCCCTAAAACAGACGCAGTTGTGCACACCCTTGAGAAGCCAGGTGGTTATAAGCAGTAGAAGATGAGGTCATTGTTTGTAAAATGCTTCACAACATCAGAATTATCAATCACTGCTATTGATTAACWGGTGATTTGCTACAAACCCATCAACAGACCGCAAACAGCCTCTGTAGGAGGGGTTTTGTTAACTCTGTCCATTAAATTTTTAGGGTGYGTTCTTCAAAAATCAGCATAGACTTAGAAAGAACAGGATCCATGGAGCAGAAGATAAGGTGCAATTATCTTTATATGTATTTTATTGCATAGAAATTCACTAAGGACAAACCTCCCCAGAACATTCTCTTGTTACAGGATTCTCTAAATGTCATATAAAAGCACTGCCCTCTACTGCTCAGGGGCTTTCATTAACGAGTATTAGAAAAAACCCAATACTGTTCTTTTTAATGAGAATGTTTGTACAGGCTTGCCTGTAAAAGGAAAAAAAAGAACTCTGGATGTTTTTATTAAAAGAAAAAATGCTAATTTATCATTTCTAAGAAGCATAAACCACCCATGTTCTTACGTTTACATGAAGAACTGATGTTTTGTCAATAGTTTGGAATAAGCTTTATGCATCTCCTCGGGCAGATAYGTGGTGAAGGAAAACACATTTTCAAGTAATTGCACCTTTCAAAATTACCCTTTAMATTTTCCATTTTGTGGAATTGTGAGCACAGGAAGGCAGAGGAATAGGAAGATTTCAAGTTGTGAAGATGCAATGGGTCAAAAAGACCTGATTCCTGATTCCCCAAGTAAAGGCAATGCAATCTGTTCAGGCTGTCTGGAGCAAATCCTTGTTGCTGTTYAGCTGCTAATTTTACAGCACATTTTCTTAAGAAAGGTAAGGTGCAAAAAACATGTGAAGACAAGTTGAAAAATATTCAGATGCGCTTTATTAGAGTCACAGCACAGGGAGATGACAGCCATTATATGACAGGAATCAGGATGTCACACCTGGCATTGCTCTAGGTTTTAACCACATCAGCTCTTTTCTGGAGAAAACTCAATCTTAACTCTATATCTTYGCCTTGCAACTCCTGTTTATAAAGATGAAATTAGGCTCATTAGCCAATAAAGAGTTTCAGCTGAAACCCAACCAATGAGGGGGTGGGTGGGTGGTAATTAAGCACTATAAATGGCCTCTGAGGCAGCTGGGGTGACTTTYACCTTGGGAGCATTGCTGCTTTGGGTGAGACCTCCGAGGAGAGAAGATTTTTGTGTGAAGCTTGTGGTGTTGATAGTTTTAATTCATGGAAGCCTTCTGGGATTTTGTTAGCATGTTTCAGGTAAGGCTGGGATTAAAAAATACACAATTATTTTATTGTGCTAATTGTAGGGGATGGTTGGCACGAGGTGTAATGTTGCTTTACCTTTATGCAGRTAGTGGGCTGTGGGAGAATATTGGGTTTTAGTGGTATTGTAACTAYTGAAAATTTTAATTTGGTTTGGGCAGTCTTGTTAGCAGAGTTAATGAACCTTATGTAGGGCATATGAATATGTAGGTAAACCATAATGGGCTTCTTAACAAGCAAAGGATAAATATGTTTATTCTCCTGTGTTGCACCTCTTATTAAAAGGGTTTTTTGCTGAAGAAATTATTCTTTGTGAGAACACAAAGCAAAAGGTGTGAAACTTGCTCTTCTGTGCTTTCTAGGTGGAGGAAAGCTTTAATAATCTGGTCTGTGAAGCCAGAACTTGTTGTAGCTTAAGAGTTATRGCCTTTGTTTTGTCAGGGCTCAAGATGAGAACAGCACTGGTTGTGGAGCTGTGCCTGATGAACAAGCTTCTGTGTTCTGGGAGCAAAATCTGCTGTGAAGGCAAACAATCTGTCTGCTCCTCAGTTTGCTTAGCTTGCAAATTCTGCTGGGCATCAGTGACTAATGGCTCTGGAGTTTCTTTCTGTATGGACTTTCCTTTATGCTAGTGACATGGTTCTTAAGTAACTTTTTTATTCTGTTAAATAAAGCCTCTAAAAGAGGCTTTTAAAGCCTTTTCCTCCAACTCTGTTTTTGGTTGTTGTCATTGCAGAAGGAAATTSTGTTGCTGATGAACTTTCTCTTTTTTGTTACCTTTTATTGTGACAGGCATGTGGTTGACCAAGCTTGGTTTTGCTTTTAAGATCTTACTGAACGTATAAAACCTATGAAGGATGGCTGTGGGTTTTGTGATTAAAATGCCCTGAGAGCTTTTTCTTGCCCCCCTCCAAATGTGCTGTGGCACTTAATTAAGAGGAATACTACTTCAGTGGTGGTACTGGCCTGAGTTTTCTGAAGCCTCCTCTGTGATGGTGTTTAGCTGCTGCATCTGTGGTCTCCCCTTGTTTRTATTTAACTGTGCCAATTCCAAGGAGTGCTCTGCTGTAGTTATCTATTAATGTGCTGTACTAGCCTCAAAAAACTGTAACTTTTAAAGGTGTGTATTTATAATTTTCCCCCTCCATTTAGCGTTTTTCTCTGTGGTGTTTTGGGGTCTGTATGCTTATAATGCTTAGCCCCAACAACCAGGAGATAGTTGCACTTCCTTGGGATGAACTCAGCCACTGAGTTGGGTGGGGAAGGGATTTTCAGTTAAAAGAAAGGGAGTTGATTGCACCTTTCACTTAGTCACAGATGCAGGGACTCCAYTCCCAAGGAAGTCCTGTGCTGTAACTGCTTAAACTGTTCCTGGTTCTCAGCTGTGTCATTGTGAGGCCTTTTGGAAGTGTCTTTGCCATCCACAGGGAGTGTTGGAAGCAGGAGCTGAGTTGCAGTTCAGTTTAATCACCCAGGGGAAGGGCTGTTACCTTGAGAAGGATGAGAGCTTGGATAATCAGGCACTTGGTACCGTCTTTAATGTCACTTTTCCTCTTGCACAGAACGAGCACAGRCAGGCAATGACAAAAACTAGAAAATCCTTCTTTTAAGGACATCACCTCATAGAAGCTGCACCTAATTATTTTAGGCTAAGGCTTGGAAAATTTCTCTTTTATAGAGCTGTTTCTAGATATTCACTGTTTAATTAACGCAATAAGGTTATAAAAATTCTGATGCTTTGTTTGGCGTTTGGCTGTAAATGGGAGATTGAGACATTTGTTTGGGTGTGGCTGTTCTGTTTTGTTTCAGCATGCCTGGTTTTAGGAATAAAAAAAAAGCAGAGCCTGTTTGAAGGTTGAACAAAATGACTGGGGGTTTATCTTGCAGATCAGATGTCAAAAGCTGCATGGGCTCAGCTTGGGAGGCAGCACAGGTTTTGTCCTCTCTTTCTCTTCTCTGTTCCATCTTTCCTGYAAATTGGCAGAGGGGCTCGGAAAGCACTGGGCTCTTCCTGCCAGACACCARTGAGGGCTCAGCAAAAGTTCAACAGCAAAGTACAGAAACACCAGATCTGTGACTGGGCTGCAATTCCGAAACAAGCTCAGCTTTGTTGTGACCAGGAGCTTTCTGGAATGTGCATGGGKATGGGGAATAATACCGGKGCTGGGAATGCAGCTGACTCTCTGKGCTCTCTCCTCTCTCTTTCAGAGCAGGGCCATGGGGGATGCAGCACCAGCACAGCAGCCCCAGCCCAGGGCTGCTCGCTGCCGGCTCTTTGATCCCAGCATGAGGAGTGTGGCCAGGAGGATGAGAACTTTCCAGCATTGGCCCCGCAGTGCCCCTGTGTCTGCCCATGATCTGGTCCAGGCTGGGTTTTTCTACGTGGGCCCCAGGGATGAGGTGCAGTGTTTCTGCTGTGGTGGGATCCTGAAGGACTGGAGACCTGGAGATTGCCCYGTAATGGAGCACCTGAATTTCTTCCCTTCCTGCAAATACGTYGGCAGTGAGGATGTTGGGAACCAGGAATTGTCATCCCTGCAGGAGATGTTTGACACTGTGGATGGGCAGTTCCTGAGTCTGTTGCAGGGGATAGTGAGTGAGGARACAGCTCTGCCCAACGAGCCAGAGTACCCTGAGATGGCCACAGAGGAGATGAGACTGTCYACATTTGAGAACTGGCCACAGAATTCCAGCATGCATCCAGAGCAACTGGCTAGAGCAGGATTCTTTTACACAGGTAGGTACTCTGGGGGAATGCCCTTAACTCTTATTCAGGTTAACTTTCACTATGTTTTATTGCACTTAGAAATACTTGCAAGCATGTGTATTGTAGTTAAAAACCACATCCTTCCTTCAGCCTGTGCTGTTTCACTTGCTSTTGTGTAGAATTAATTTCAACGTTTAAATCCTGTTTGGGTATTCAGGAGTCCACTGGTAAATAAACTCCCTTTGYCAGCAGGAATGGAAAAGGTGATGTATTTTAAACAGGTGTTYTCTTTWCAGAAATGTGTGTGCTTTAAGATGCATTGAGTGTATTTATTCCTTGCAYATCTAAAAGGACTTGAGCTTCCTTRGCCTGTCATGTTTTGTRTAAGCTGTGTCTTGCASTGAAGCCTYTTATTCTCAAAACCCCAGATCTGAGTGAAACCTGTCAGCCCATCTGGCTGTCCCTGTGGGTTGTTGCTCTAAGGACTCTTGATTTGAAATACAGAAGAAATTTTGGAAGAAAATAGTATTTCTTGTAATCACATACATACATGTGGATATCAATATAATGGTATTGTTTCCTTCTGAGAATGCTTTGCTGGTTACACAATCAGTTTGAGGGAATACTCATCTCTGAATTGATCAGTCAGAAAATATCTGCAGTGTAGCAGACTGTGGTTAGTGAGCAAAGTATGTTCCCAGGTACAACTAATTACAGCTCTACCCTAAATGCAGGCAGGAGCATTGGAGGGGGGTGTGTGTCCATGGGATCTCAGGTGCTTCCATAAATGCTGCCTGTTAGCTTGTGACCCCTTCTGGAATAATCTCAGCCACTGCTGGGAGCTCAAACAGAGTCCCTGCCCCTGTACAATGTGTGTAGCATTGGTAAATTGTCATGTGTTCACCTCGTCTGCCCAAAGCCTGTGTTTTGTGCTGTCTCCCCCCTGGTTCTCACTCAGGATTAGGTGGTGTCTAATATCAAATGTTCTCTTGATCTCCCTTTCAGGACAAGGAGATGTGGTGAGGTGTTTTTACTGTGATGGAGGTGTGAGGAGCTGGTCCGTCGGAGATRATCCTTGGAGGGAACATGCCAGATGGTATCCAGAGTAAGTCAGTCCTGGTTGAAAAATGCCCCTCAAAGCAAGGCCAAAAGATGGGTTGTGCATTTCTCACTGGTAATGTTCYTTCATGGAACAGAAAAAAATAAAACGTTCAAGCTCAGGTGGAATGGCACAGTTCAGACCTGAGATTCTCTAATTTGACCTAGAGTTCATCTCTAAGAGTTCAAGTAAAACAATTTTCTTTGGCATTAAAGAAGAGCTTTCATTGCTACTGCTCTGAGGCACGAGAAGAAATGTATTGTAAACCTTGGGTTTCTGCAGCAGTTCTTGGGTTTTTCCTGTGAACTGCTCTCTCATCACAGCTCCTGTGGTCTGTTCTAAAGTGTGTTACAGCTGAGCTCATCTTGGGCCAAAATGAAGACTGAATTAGGGGGGAGAACTTTTGTGCAAGAAGTTGCACGGGGGGGAAACACCATGATACCCCAATCTTTAATGAATATGTAAAAATTTGCTCATTGCCCATAGCACCCTTGGCTTCTCAAATTCAAACTACTACTGCTACTGCTTTCACTTGGGAGACTCTGTACTAATATATTTAAACYTTTCTGCTCACAGGTGTGAATTTTTACTGCACTCAAGGGGAAGAGAATTTGTTAGCAGCGTTCAGACGACCTTTTCTACCACCCTGCTGGCTCCAGTGAGTMATGAATATTTTGTGTGTAGTGGGTTAGGTTTGGTAGATGGGGGAGTTTTGAACGTGTGCTTCTCTCTTTGTGTCATTTCCAGAGACATTCCTGGGATCAGACTGARCAAGACTCTCCTCCTTCCCAAGGTCAGTTCTGTAATTCCAGGGTGTTTTATCTTCTGGTGAAAGTGGTGTGGTCTGAGTTCYACCAGCCCACCCAGCTCCTGTGCCCTCTGCTGATGTGGTGTTTGTGAGATGTTTTGACATTCTAGCAGCTGTTTCACTTTGATTTTAGGAAATGGTCTCTAGCTCAAAAACCAAAATTACTTGTTCTTGTGAGGCCCCTTAGTCTAAGGCCAGAGACGTTTAGCTAGTCTGGATAATCATGTGAGTTTTGAGTGTTTGCCTAACTTACCTTTGACTTTTACACGTTCTTCCTGTTGATATCTGTCTGTAAAGTCTTTCACTACTGCATTTTAAACATGCTTGATAAGAGACCAGAGAATAGTAGAGGGTCTAGATGTCCATGAAAATGTTGATAACTGGGGATTATTCCCATTTATCAGTTGCTGCCAGAAATGTAAGTAGGTGAAATTTGGCTCCCATAAGCTTAAGCAAGACTTGAGCCTTTGAACAGACTGCCAGCTGAATTTCCTGCTTCTATTGTTACTGATCAATGATTGAGCTTGTTTGAGGTAGGAGAGGCTTCAGTTGGGATGTTCCACTTGATGTTCATGAAAGCAGCTCTGAGGCTTCTGTTCTGGGGTGTGGAAACAGAGATAAGGATTCTGGACTGAGGCCAAACACAGGAGACTGTTCACTRATAAAGTAAAAGAAACCATCCAAAATAAGTGTCTGGGCTTTTATGAAATTTGTTTTGATTAACTTTCTTGTGAATTATGATTTGAAGTGAAAAATAATTGTGGATGTTAATCTAGCTATATGGATTGCTTTAGGAGTGTCTTAGAATATATTAATGCCATTTTATGTACAACACCTTCAGGAATGGCACTCTTTCTGCCCAAAGTTCTGCCTTTTTAGTGAAGTATTTGTTCACTGCTTTACAGATCCTCTGAGCCATTGGAAAATGCTGGCTAACCCTTCTGAGGATCAGAGTGCCCTAGTGYACAATGTCCTGCAGATGGGCTTTGACCCCACCTGGGTGGCAAACCTGGTGGAGAATAAATTTGCGCTGACTGGGACTTTCTACGAGTCTGAGTCGGAGCTGATTTCAGAGCTGCTGCAGTCAGGCTGGGGGGCCAGCAGCAGTGCAGGGGGAAGCAGAGGTAGGCCTGACTCTCACCTGGCCTGGGGGGTGTTTAACTTCTTCCTCTCCTCATCCTGAGCACTGCTGGGAGTTCTTGAGGGTCTGCCTTGTCTCTTCCCAGGCTGGAGTTCAGAGGGGTGATGGCCCAGAGCCTGCCTTTCCTTGGGAGGCTGAGCAATGAGGCTCTGAATCAAAGAAAGCTGGAGAGGCTGTGGTTACTGGGGTGTCAGTGGCTGTCTCTGCCTGCACTGGGCTGTGGTGGGATATCCTTGGTGTTCCCTGCTGTCCTCAGACCTGCAGGAACTGGCAGTTCCTCGATGTGGAGGCTTGTGCAGAAATTCACATCTGATCTGGATAGAGGCAGCTGTGTCTGAAGCAAAGCTTCTAGGATGGGTGATCCCTCTAAGCCTATTTAAAACTGGATCAATATCTTGAGCAGAAACAGCCATACATTTCTGGTTTGGATAATACATTCCTTAACTTCTGTCTTGTGTTACCTGTTTTGTGAAGTCTGTTTGTCAAGTGAAGTTTACTTAAAGACGCAATTTGAAAGTTCCTGTCTCCACAGCATGGACTGCAATTTCTGTAGCTAAAATTACACAAAACTGAAACTGTGATTAAACAGTAACACAGGAGCAGGAATGAGCAGGTGATGGCTCTTCCTGTCTGATAGATAAACCAGTTTGGAGCAGAGAATGTGATGTGGACAGGCCTTGGTAGGGAGGTTTCCTGGCACACTACTGAAACACCACAGAAAACATCAGCTACACCAGGCTGAGTAAGGGAATTTTTAACCAAATGCTTCTGAGGTCCAGGATATTTTATCTTTTCACCCAGCACTGTCTGGAGGGGATAAAGTGGATAACATTTAATAACACCTTCTTTTCTGGTTACACAGGTGCTGATCAGAGAGATGCTGGAACATCACACCAAGAAATGCGACCTGTGCAGCAAAAGGAATCAGGTACTCTGGGCTGGCAGTGCTGGGGAACTGAGTTTAGGCATAACTGGGAGCAGTTTTAGATTAACAGTATCAGTAGTCAATATATTAACTCTTTTCTTTTTAATTTTGAAGGGGACTGTGTGATAGTTTGAGTGGTACCTGAGCTTRAAACCCTGATTTGGGGATGGGAGTATCCCTATGAAGCAGCTGCTACCAAAAAAATCTAGTTTATCAGGATAATTTATTTACCACAGTAAATGCTGTTGATCTGTGCCTCCTCAGTCCAGCATGTGTAGATAAGCCAATGTATAATAGTTGGAATTTTTCAGCTTAAATGAAACTTGACTGAGAGGTACTTTTGCTATCTTCACACTCAATGTCTGAACAAAATAATGAGAAATTTGCAGTGTGACTTTCTAAACTGTCACAACTGGCACTCTGGAGCTGTGACAATACTAACAGCTTGGGTTTTTCTTTTTTCTTTTTTTGGTGAAGGCGAATCTCAGCTGAGCACAGAAGAGCAGCTCCGCCGCCTGCGAGAGGAAAGGATGTGCAAAGTGTGCATGGACAAAGATGTGTCTGTTGTGTTTGTTCCCTGTGGCCACCTCGTCTCCTGTGCAGAATGTGCCCTCAACCTGAGGATGTGTCCCATCTGCAGAGCTGTCATCCAGGGCAGCGTCAGAGCTTTCATGTCCTGAGCCACCATGCACCTGAGGGCAAAGATAAGTCTGTGCAACTAATTCATAACTCAGCAGAGAGAGGAAATAAGTAAATAGCTTAGTGCTGGAGCAATTTTTATTGCAAGGTGGCTTGGTGTAGGTGTGAAAACTCACTGAATGTGCCTCCTATGCTCAGTGTTTCTAGGGAGAGCTGCTTCTTGCTTTAGGACTGCTTCAGAAAAGCTCTTCTGGGTTCTTCTGTCCTCCAAAATGAGGCTTTTGGTGACAGGGATTCTTCTTCTCCACATTTTTGTGTTCTCAAGTGAATCTTTGCTCTCTGTGTGGAAATCAAAGGCTGTTTTCAGCAGATTCTGAAAGTTCTTTCTTACTCATTTAGCAGTTGTCAAGAGATTATTCTGCTAGGGCTTCCTTCAGTAAGTTTGATTGAAAAATGGGAGTATTTTTTTTAATACAAAATGCATTCCATTGAGATTAGAGTACTCAGCAGCAATGTTTKGTAGGGGAGGGAAAATCTACCTTTTTCTTCTGAGCTCTTCGCTGTCTTTTTTTCCACTCCCCATTCTGTTGAATTTTCAACAGCTGATGAAATGTTTCAGCAATACTCAAATTTGCAAAACTTAAGTGGAAAAGCCTGGCCTGACTCTCTCTTTGCTCTCAGCTGATGTCCCCAGGTGAAATGCTCTTTGCTCAGGGTCACTGGATGCTCTCCTGGAAGCTTCTTATGGAGCTCTTCCATGGCTGTTGGTTACTCTCCCACTAGAAAACAGCTATGAAAACTTACYTTTTTAGGACTTCTGTTTGCTGGCTAAACTGATGATTGTTATTTAAAATGGAATATTCTATGAGGTCGCCAAAAAGAGTAAGTTTCATCCATGCTATCCCTTGTAATTGAAGGGAAAGGAAACATGTTTTTAAAGATAAATTGTTCTTTTTCATGGAATAAAATGTTTTCCTTGTTTAGCTTTGAGGTCTTGAGTATCTGATTCTAGTACAATTCCCTTCTGGGGGAGGGGTTGTGGTGGTGTCCYAAGATGTCAGAGTGATAGTTTTTGGAATTCACCAGGTAACATGTGGATCAGAGACTCTTAAAGTGGTTTGTGTTGGAAGGGAGCTTAAAGCTCATCTCATTCCATGCCCCAGCCATGGGCAGGGACACCTTCCACTATCCCAGGGTGCTCCAAGCTCTGTCCAGCCTGACTTTGGACTCTTCCAGGGATCCAGAGGCAGCCACAAATTCTGTGGGCAACCTGTGCCAGGGTCTCACCACCCTCAGAAGGAAGAATCTGGAGCCTCCAGATTCTCAAACTGTGAAAGAGGGGATAAGGATGGAGGAAAATGAGGCTCTGGTGTACAAAACTGTAAGTGGGGAATGATTCTATATCTTAATTCTTCACTGAGTTTTGGGATGTGGCTCTTAAGTGCATCTGTGGCTCTGAAACTGCTTCTCTTTGGTTCTAGCCCTGAAAACTGGAAAGGATTATGGGCTTGTCTGTGARTAACTTTAAGCTGTCAGTTWTCCCTAGATCACGTGGGAGGGCATMTCTTCATCCCTACCTTCAGAATATTAGTGCAGTTCTTGACAAAGATGAGAGAAATTACTGGTTGAGTGGTTTGAACTCTGCAGCTCTTGAAGGAARGGGTGGGTCTCTGCCAGACAGCAGCTTTCCTGGAGAACAGAATGTCACCACCATGCCAAATGAGGTACTGTCTGGGTTCAAGATATCATTGGCTTTGTTTTGGCTCTATAAATACAGCAAAAGCTTATTTAAATAATATGCTAATCTGAGAAGGGAAAACACCACCAGCTCAGTGCTGGACCAGTGTTATTTCCAACCAAACTCAATGCAATGTGGCTGGAAATGGACTCAGCTTTTTCTGAGGCTTCTCCTATTGAACACTTTGAAAATTGGGGCTTTTTCCCATCAAGAAGGGAGGAGCTGTCTTTTTTTCCTAGGGGGAAATGTCCCTTCACGATACCATATTTTCCTCTGATGAGAAGCATCTCCAGCGCTGTCCCCAACAGAGGGCACTCTGAAACTGGAGATAAGGGAAATAAATCACCGGGGCACAACCTTCGGCTGCTCCTGCATCACGCTGGGCATGGAAGGGGTGACCCGGAGTGGCAGTCCCTGCTCTACAGAACACGGTCACTGTGTCACCTGGTGGTACTCAGGATGGAGGAGTTCTGAGAGCATGAAGGATGGATGGCTCTGCTAATAAAAACTGGAGAAGGTAATTAAGTGTGGAATATGACCTTTGGTCGCTTAGTTTGTTCTCAGACTGATTTTTTTTTTATGATTTATGGCAGTTATTGATGCTGCATATTACAGGCTTACCTGAATATAGGCTGGGTGTTTATTTGACTTCTGTTAATTCCTGCAATGAACACAGGTAACTGAGTGGTAGTTCTGAAGCTACTCAGTCATCTCACTTTTATTTAATTAATCTTTACCAGTGTGTATTAAAGCCAAGGGGCAATCCTGTTAACTGTGCATAGTTTGATGCTTTATCTCTTTAGAGTACTTGGCGAGTGGTTTTCATCAGTTTTATTAGTGAAAGTGGCATCAGGGCTTGGAGAGTGGGAGAGGTGTAGTGTTATAAACATGCAGACCTCAAAACAATTGCAGAATTCTCTCCTATTACCACCTAGAGATTACCACCTAGAGGAATTGCTTCCTGAAACAGTGAAATATTTCAGCTGTTCAGAGCCAAAACTGTGCTTTTTCTACCATCTGTGTTGAATTTTGATACCTGCTGGTATCTGATTGATAATATTCTCTCTGAGGAAAAGAAATCGTATTAAACCTAAAAGTATGAAGTCAGTGCTTTCTGAGAAAAGGGAAGGTTAATTGAAAAAGCCCCAAACAAATGAAATCTTTCATGGGAAAAACTCATTAAATWGAGGATGTGTATTCTTCCACTTCTTTTTGTTTTTCTGCCTCTCCAGGGAACATCAGGTGGGCAGAAAGGAATGAGTTTGATACAGAAAGGGAGTGAATAAAGAAGTGGAGAAGGTGTTAAGTGTCTGCACACTGCTGTTCATGACCTCAAAATGGGGAGTAGCTTGCGTTGCACTGGTATTTTTTAACTTGGAAATGACACAATATTACTAATAAGGGGGTTAATTAAGTTACATCAGGCAGAGCTGTGAGGGTTGAGTTTATTCTCTGAGTTAAACTAGGATCAAACTGGTTTTGCTCAGTCAGAAGCTGTGGCTTTTGGTGACTTGAAGACAGGGTAAAAAACCTACAGAAAACAATGTTTACTTGCAGCTGCACCCAAGCAGAAATCAGGATGTTTGGATAGCTGGAATAGAAGTCTAAAAGAAGCAAAAAATACTCTCATAATGCTTATACATTTGGGCTTATAAAAGAGGATTTTGCTTCCTGGGCCCTTTGGAATGAGACAAAAAAAGGCTGCATAATTCTGTCTTTGATTTAGCACTTAATGTTTTTATTTTATTTTTTTTTTAATTCTTCCCTCACACTTCTCCCTAGCATGRCTTCTAGCTTGACCCTTCTGAAAAGCATTTCTCAAAAAATGCCAAKTAATCCCAAACAGATTAGGCAAAACAATAATGAATTACAACAGCACTTGGAAGAATCAGCCTRAAAATGCCAGGGCTGGCTGACAACTGCTCCTTCTCTGCATTTGACACTGAACATGCTGGGAGACACAGCTAACAAAACTGACATGGTTTTGTTGTGTTTTTTTTTAATTAATTGCTGCAGCTCATTAATGCAACTTAATTACACTYGCATTCCCCCTCCAGCCCCTTCCCTCCCCTCAAAAAACCTTTTTTTGGTCCCAAACCAAACCTTTCCATCAGGATGTTGCCTTGGAATAGGTGTGGCTCTGGGTGAGGAAGGCAGGTATGAACCCACCTCTGATCCACGAGAAATTTGGCCTTTCTGGGGTCCTGCAGCAGGATTCAGCTTGGATATGGCTGCACCAGGGTTAATTTAATGTAGCTGGGCTGASCCAGAGTAAGCTACAGCTGCTCTGAGAATGGTTTGGCTGCTTGGAACGGGGTGAGGCTCCGTGCTGAGTGAGGAGATGATGGCTGGACTAAGTTTTCAGCTGTTCAGCATTACAGGAGTTACAGAGCACTGAACTCCAGGGCAAATTCCTATTGCTGTGTCTACAGAGAATGAGGAGGGGAGTCCTGGATGGGTGTGGAGGAGGAAGGGAGGAGTTCTCATCTATAACTTAAAACCCAAAAATGCCTAAGTAACTCAAGTGTAAAGAGCCCCCACCTAGTTTTATACAGGCAGGGAGGAGATGAAGCTGTGTTAGGGGATTTAGGCTCTGTTCAGAGTAAGGGAAGACTCTAACTACAGAACATATGAAATGTCCCGGGGGTTATGCAGTGCTTCCTTCTGTCTGGATCCGTGGTGCAAGGAAGCAGCTCTGGCTTAAACTGTGGCTCTGCAGAGAGGCTCTTGGTGAATTTGTTCTGCCAGAGGTCTTTGGGCCTGTGCCATTTCTGGGCCAGGACCAGCAGGCTGTGGTAGGAAAGGTTCGTCAGGGCACTTGGAGAATTAAAAACCAACCGYGTGGCCATTCTTTGATGTACATTCATTGCGTTTGAAGAGGAGACAAGGAACAGAAAAATGGAATGGAGTTCACCATCCTGCATTTCCTCTGCCAAAGATCCAGGCCCCAGGGGACTGTTTCCTGCAGCACCTTTGGTGGAGTGCAAGGTTTATCCATCCTCTGGCTCCTCCTCACTTACGCAGGCCTGGAAGAGAAGGGAAAAAAGGTGAGGGCAGGATGTGAATGTGGAGTAAGTGCCCAATTGCTTTCTTCATATAACACAAATGGCGTGGAAATAATGAGGACAATTTTTTTTTCCTCTTCTGGGCTTTTAAATATGATTGACTACRGATGAGGAATAGGATTGAGAGCTCAGAAGTAATGTGGTTAAGTGGTGTTCAAGCCTGGAAAGAATGCACGTGTCAGACCTGAATATGCTGCAGTTAGGCTCAAGTGTTAGATCTATGGATCCCTCAGCATTTGGAGCTGCATAAAATCTGGTTAGGAACTTAAAAAGCCTCAGGGTCATCTCTAGAATAAAGGAGCTGCTTGAAATTGCRGTGATGTGCTTTTTGTGTAGGTGCAGCAGGGTAAGCAGATCTACTTTTGGAGCCAGCAGTAAAGGTGAGTGAATGTTTTTGGCTGAAACATCACCTCTTACACATGTAGCTTCAGGATGATCAAAAGAGTTTGCAAATTCATGTTGTTTGTTTGGGGAAAAGTCTACCTAGAAAGAGAAGCAGAAGTGTTTTGTTTTCTGGTTGTTTTTTTTTTTTTCTCTCCTCAAAACAAAGCAGAATATTTTTGCTTTCTAAGTTTCCTTTGTAAAATAAAAAGTTTGGAGGGGATAGGTGGGGAAACAATTCTAAAGGAGTTTTCCTCCAGCTTCTCCTTATTCCAGTGTTTCAGTCTTGGATTTTAACTTCTTGACTAATGTTATTTGTGTACTTGTACATATTTAGTATATTGAAGAACGCACTTTAAGCCAGTGAAGGATGCTTGTTGCATGGGGACAGTCCTTTAATGCTCACAGCTGCTTTATTTCCATGGCCAGCAGACACTGCCCCACAAACAATTGATSAGGGATCATTAAAGGGAGCAATTGCCAACTGGAGCCTCAGATCCCTCAAATTAACCAATACCTCCTGTTGCTGCCCTGCCAATACTGAGGGCTCCAGCTGACAAAAGTCACACCCTGAGTTAACACAGGGCCCTTTCCACTGGTAGATCTGAGGAAAGGAAAGTCCATAAAATCTGGTACACAACTAAAATTAAAGCTTTTAAGTTCTAAATGTGATGTAGGAGTTGAGGTGCCAGATGAGTGTTAGGGGTTGGAGCCTCACAACTGCAATTCACTGCTTGGCCTTACAAACACAGTCTTAAAARGCAGCAAGATTTACTGCTCATCTCTGTACCTTTGAAATAAACAGAGGGTACTCCTGTCATCCAGCAGGTTCTTGATTTAGCACTACTCTGTGTRCAAAATCATGTTTTGAGGCTCTTCTGCTTTATAAGTGGGATTGTGCAGAGCTGCTTTCCAAAGCAAATTCAGAGATGATGTCAGGAGAGTGAGAGGATTCAGCAGGCAGGAGGTACTGAAAAATGCTCAGGATGCTCTGGGTACTTGGCAGGTGGTGCAGGGGCTTGGAGAGAACAGCTTGAGTGAGAAATGTCAAAGCTGGCTTGGCCACCACATCCACAGTCATTGCAAAAAAGTGGTTTTGCCTCAAGTAATGAGACTCCTGTTACTACTACTGGATTATGGTCTGGAAGTTCATATTATGAGTAACAGTTTGGGGAGATGTTTTTTCCTCTTAGCAGGAGGAAAATGTATTTAAGAACTTCTTTCAGTGTTGTGGATGGAAGCTGAAGGCCAGAACTGGGGTGCACAGTTTGAATACTGAATTTAGCAGCTCATGCCATTGTTCTGTGGGGTCTCAGATCTCTAAAAACTCGTAAGTTTGGAGAGATGAAGAAGAGAGACAAGAGGAAAATGCAGGAGAGGGCACAGTGGAGGGAAAGAGCAYGATCTCACCAGGAAAGTATAGGTAAAACTGGAGTGAATAGGGTAATTCCATTAGGGAATGAGGGAAACGATCCTGMTAGAAAGGTGTGACATCCCAGCATGTGCATTATCAATGTTCCTGATCCCTAGCTCTTCTGTAAACTTTAACTTCAAGTAAGGTAGATGTATTTTTGTTTTGTATCTTCTTGAACAGGATGTAAAAAACAAAAAACACACCACCACTAACAAAAACCCAAACCAAAAAACAAATGAAAATGCCTTCACGTCMTCACAAAATGATTTTCCCAGCAGGACAGGGGCAGCTGGCACTCAGTGCCCCAGCCTGCAACACTCCATGGCACCATAACTGGGAAACAATTATCCTTTGCACATGGGGAAGAAAGGCAATATAGTAGGGCTCAAATAAATAAACAGAAATTGCTATTTGGTGGCTGCTGAAATTTATAGAGGGTCACATTATCTACAGCTCAGCAGCTGTTTTCACCTCCTGTTAGCCTGAAAGAAATATTATTGTGTGCTGGCAGAAAATACCAACACATGAAGTGATGGGCTGAAGAGTGGGAGTGAGGAACAACAGAATTATCTGTRGACTTCAGCAGCAGTTTCCCATCTTCCTGAGGCCCTGGAAGAAAGTTTTACATGGCTAACTTCCCTTCTTACTGCCATCTCCTCATATAGGAATCTGCATTTATAATGCAATATAGATGAYAGATTCTTTCACAAGCAGAACTGGTCATTTTAAGAAAAAAAGAGCCCAAACCCTGCACTTTAAAAACGTGATGCTTCTTCAGCACGCTGCTGCATCAATCTAGTAAATCAGGGAGCTGCTTARAGCTGCACAGCTTCTGCAGACTATGAAAAATTCCACCCCACTGTGACAAAATGAGAGAGAAATCAATATTTAATCTCCTGTAGCATCCCTTGTAATAACACTATAGAGCCCCGAAAGTTACAGGGAATTCAAKGGCTTTGCAAAAATTACTTGTATTCCTGATGTTGTGCTGCAGTGACAAAGTGAGCAGTAAGTCCTCATGAAATTAGAGGGGCACATCTGCCCATCTASCTCAGGGAAGTTTTTCTTCCCTTTGCCCCACTCTTTTCCACCTTACTCACATCCTTCTTTTYGGCAGGACTCCCTGGTAACATCGTTCTGAAAAACAGCCTGCCTCAGCAGCTGCTGTAAAAAACTTCCCTGTGTTGAACTGCCTCTTGCAGATCAATTTAAAGAATATAAAATCAAATCTCCTTGCTGCTTTGAACAGACAAAACTGGCCTTTGTGTTTGAGAATCTTATTAAGAAACAGCTTTAAAGTGGACAGAGTGAAATTGTGATCTTGTGCCTCAGGGACAGAAATGGGAATTCAACAGTGGCTCTTCAATTATTGGTGTGAGAGAAGYTGCTGTGGACAGCTCCCCTTTGCTCTCAGCTGAACTCTTGGACTGCCCCACAGTTCTTGTAGAAAACAAAATTTTAAATAATTCTGGAGCAGAGAAAGAGCAGCTTCACCCTTTCTGGTGTTCATTTTTTCATTCCTGACATGCCTGAAAAGCCTGTTGGAGAAATCAGCCTGCAAGGAGGAAAAAACCCAAACCTGTGGTACACTCGAGCCATGAAAGCAAGAAGCACGTGGAGTCTCTTAGCATAGATGATACTTACAGGTATGTCTGCTTGAACAAAAGGTTGGTGGGTTTTTCATTGACATGGTAGAGAGGAAATGGATCAAATCCACCAATGAAATCAACTGAAAAAAAATCGAAACTCAAATAAACAAACAAACATGGCCAGAAAGTTGAAAGGAAATGAAAGAAAGGGTTGGTGCATGTCATGGCATAAACACAAAAATTAAAGACAGAACAGAAAAATGATTTTTTTTTTTTTTCAGGTATGGATTCCTGGCATCTCCTGGGAGGGGCAGGTGTGCCAAAGAGGAGATTCAWCTACAACAGATTCTGGAAAAGCCTCCTTGGGAATTGCCACCTCAYTGTGCTGAGGGGAGGAAGCTGGGGAACGGCTCCTGAGGAATGCCTGTGACAAGCTGGCAGCAGAGCAATTTTCACAAACTGTGAAAGTTCTACAGCAGAGGGGGAATTTTCTTGCCCCACTTTTCTGCAAGACAACAGCAGCTTTGGAAAACAGCAACCACCTCATTATCTCCAGCTCTGGTATTTTTCACTTCCCTTCTGCCAACTCAATTTCTTTTAATTGTGCACAAATAAGAACAATGCCTCCCTTCTCCAGCGTTCACGGAAGGGCAACGTAACTCAGCAGGGAGAGTTTTAAGTGACAATTCCCTTGGTAACCAGACAAGAATTTTCCAAGGCTGTCTTGGTTGCCTGGACTTTAGGCCAAGCCTGCAGCCCAGAGCTGGCCAGCACAGTCAGGGCAGGAGGGGTGTGAGGTGCTGTGATTTATCACTGACCTCGCAGACCTTGCAAAACCTTTTAAAACAGACCCAGCTTGGACCATTTTTTGGTGCCAAATTAGTGCATTTTGTATGGAACTGTGAAAGCCATCCTGTCCAAATGCAATTTTAAAATAACTGGAGAGTCCTATTAACTATAYAGGTGCCTGTTTATTTTTCTTTCCTGAAGGTGGCACTATTATTTTAAATTTAAGCTGAAGAGGTTGGAGGTATTTTACTGCTAAAATAATAGAAAACAGTATTTACTAATACACTCGGTGGGAAAAACCCCAAACTTCTTAAAATATATTTCGAAACTTAATGACAACAGATTCTGACAAATTCCATCTTAAAGGAGACCTTCATGCTGATATTGCAACTTTGCAACAACTGACAGGTAATGGGTGAAATCTGTAGAGGTTCTAAGTTAATTGTGGGGATAATTCCCAAATAGTTTCAGTGAAACTTTACCTTTTTTCAGCCACTTTTGAAAGCATTTAAGTATTTTAAAATCAAAACGGGCTGCAATTAAAAAAAAAAATCAAGATACTAACTTTATTACTTCAGTTGTGGAAGGCCTACATTGGGAAACCTTAAAGAACTGCAATTTTCAGTAACTATCCAGTACCTTGAACAAACACAAGTCTTATCATGTGAACACCCAAGCATGAGGGCACTCAAAATATAAAACACTTTAAAAAAAAAAGTCTTAAGTGTAGCTCCTTGTGGTAGAATACAGTGCATTAGCACAGCTAAAATATTCTTGCCCACAATTCAGCATTAGTAGATSCCTACTGCTGTGTTTTCTCATGAAAATCACGTTAGCATGAGCTTCCTGATTAATGTGCCTCAGCACTTATAATTACTTCATGCTGCATATCAAAGCAACATTTAAAGGAAACCACAAATGGAAGAGAAAATTAAAACGCAGCTCAAATTTATTCAGGTCACTGGAAGGATCTACCCCTGTGAGTGTGAAATATTGATGGTTTGTCATTGTTAATTATTCAAGCTGGCATTTTAACTCCAAGCTGGGAAACTGGGAGGGAAAGTGAATTTGTTAGTGGGGGGAAAAAATACATATCCTGAAATTAACAGCTCTGTGTTTCCCAGATAAAGCTTCCTTCCATGTTGTTGCCTCTCCAAACAGATTCCCTACCATAAAAATGAGTTCTGTCAAGTTAYTGCTTTACAATATTCAGCAGGGACTCCGAACTGGAGCTATTTAGCTAATAGAAGAGCTATAGCCCAATTTAAAAAATATTACTATAATGTAGCACCTTCTCTAAGTGCACTGCCAAGCTCTAAAGAAATGATCAATAAAGCCAGGAGAATGAGTTCAGCCAGGAAGGAAGGAAGAAAAAAAAAAACATAAGGACAAGGCAGATAAGTAATGCATCTCCTCTCGCTCCTATGAAAACACATTCTTCACATACTTTCAAATATTCAGTTCAAAGCTGTTGTTTTCCAGCTCTCATCCACACCAGCTGCTCTTTAAAACAACAAAGCTACTTGCACAAACCTAATCAATGCCTTAAAAGAATTTACAGTTGGATGTAAAACTTTGGATCAGATCCTTCGCTGGAGTAAACTGGCCTAGACCCAATGYACTGACAAACAAATCAAACTGCATTTATTTCAACTCTATGCATCCATTTTTCTGTTTGTAAAATTATTGGTCTCAATGAAGGTTTTAGAGGGGAAAAGGAATCCAGAACCTTTGGATACCTGCAGAGGTTACAGAGATCTCTGAGTCCTTACCCTGTGTCACAGTGACCGAATGTCACTGGAGAGATTTGTGCACCCAACACGAGGGAGCTGGCTCCTTCCTCCTCCTCAGAATTCAAACACTGCACTTCCTCTGCTCTTAAATTAAGTGGTCAGATTGGTTCTTGGCAAGAACTCTTATGATCTGTTTCATCCTCAGCTTGTGGCACATGAGGCTCAGCAGGTCTCCCACTTGAGCCCTGGGCCGAAAGCTTTGTTGTAGGTGCTTTTAATCACAGCAGTGATATTTCAGAACTGTTATTCTTAGAYTGTATGAGCTTGAGAACAGAAGCAGCTGCCCAGTTTCTCTAAAGCTTAGTCCAGCTGWGAAGCCAAACCCAAGCTCTTTTTGTGCTGAAAGTGTAGCAGAATTACAGCATCTAACACAGAGYGACACAGGGGGAAAACCCTCACTGTAAAAATAGCTGATCCTTGAGAGGCAGAGATGGAAAGAAGTCTGATGGCAGCTCAGTGCTGACAGACAAACATCTGAGGGAGAAATAAAATCCACCAAAACCTTTGCCAAGGGATCTGTTGATAAATACTTACAGCTGTCTTCTTCTTCTGTAAAAACACTAACCACGTAACAGGCGTACACAAAGCCCACCAGCTGGAAAACAGAGAGAAGAAATCATTTCAGCATCAGGCAGTGCGAGCCTGGTCAAAACCCACTGGGCACAAATTCAACAGCCACTATTTGCACTCAGCTTGGCAGCATTTCTGTGAGCGTGGAGCCAAGTYATGTTTGCTGTGGGCAGGAGGGCAGGGATGGCACTGAGGGAGCACACCCAATGCTCGAGAAGGAAAATGTAAAAGAGCCATCCTCACCTTCAGAGCAGCACCTTCTTGAATGATTGGCAAGAACGTGGGTTGGCTTTGCTGAAACTGGAACTACTGTGCTAAATTAGCTGTCTGTAAGAAGTGATGGGGACAGGGGAGAGAGCCTTGTGGAATGGTTTAGACACACRACTGTGTACAGGAGACACAGTGGCAAGGACAAGAACTCACCAGCTTAGCATTCCTGTTATATGGGGCAAATTATCAATAAGAGGTGAGTGGTTTTTATGCAGATGAGACAGAAAAGTAGTTAACCATAAAAGTGGTGATGTACTGGCAGAAATGTTTAGAGACACCAAAATCTTTAGTAACTTGTTAGATTGTGGAATCTCGAAAGCGTCAGAGCTGTCTCCTTTAGCCTCAGTATCAAGGTGTTCCTCGGCCWAAGCAGGGAAATAAAATCCTGCTTCTATGGGAGTTAAGCATTCCAGATGCAGCAGATTTTGCTTTGCCTTCTTCCTGTTAATCAAATATCCTCCCCATCCTTCATTTTACATCTTTACACAACACCCCACTTAGYGAGATCTCTGCTGACAGTAACTGTGTTAGTAAAGTTATTGTGAGGCGTAATTGTTCTCCGCTGTGAACTCAATTCCTTGGAACAAGAGTCAGCCTGTAACACACAGTGACTCACTCCGAGCAGAGACAGAATGATGCATGGGAGGGCTTGAAAAGTAGAGTCCATTCATTTTTAATATGACAGAAAAATACATCACACCCGAAAACAAAAGGCAAGATAATGAGATTTCTGCTGGGGAGTTATACAACGTTTGTGGTTTCTCCAGCTCTCCCTGACAAAACACGCCTTGTTGGGAGGAAATGGAATGTTTTTGTGGCATCACTAAACCCTGTTTTTCCTTGAAGTTTTTCTATTATCACCTGAAAGACAAGGCAGCTCGCCCCTTTCCTCTTGGGTGAGCCTTATGGGAGCACATCCCAGAACCTCAGTGGAGGAAGGGCTGCTCTGAGGATTCCTTATTCCTCTGCTGTGCACTTCTGAAACCAAGGCTGCTTCAGGCTAAGTTCTGTGAGCTACAGAGAAAAATAAATCCTCTGGCCACTTGAAATGGTCAATCTACCTGCTGCCTTTTAGAATTGTCACAGACTAGAACTCTTAATGTTGAAAGATAGACAAAGCAAAACAAAATRTGTCAGAATATCAGAGATTTTTCCTCTCTCCTATTGCTTGTACTGTGCTAACACAACACCTGGAGATTTTTTTTCCTCAAGATTGTGGCAGTTTTTGGGCAGGTCAGAGCAACAAAGCTGGGGAGGGCCCCAGAGCACAAATTTGATAAGGAATAGCTGAGGGGGCTCGGGAGAAAAGGAAGCTGAGGAAGGACCTTATTGCTCCCTACAACTCCATCCCTGGAGGGATTTAAAAGAGAAGCAGATGTGGTATTTGGGGACACGGCTGAGTGGCGGTGCTGGGTGAGCTCGGTGATCTTGGCGGCTTTCCCAACCCCAGGGATTGAAGGATTCCCGGCCCGGGCCGGGCTCTGGCCGTGGTGCTGAAGCACCGCCTGCTCATCCCGGGGCTGCGGGACCCGACCCCGATGTTCTTACAAAAACAGAGCTCTTTCTGCCTGTCCCAGCGCTCCCTGACATCTCCAACCACCCGTCTGCACACCCTGCTCTCCAGCATGAATTCACTTGCCCAGATTACAAATTGGAGTGCGGTCACACACATTCTCTGTACTTGAGCATTTTCACAATTTGTAGATCCAGCCTTTGTATCAGCTCAAATCATTCCATTTACACACACACACACACACACACACACACACACACACAAATATCCAAGCAGCAAAGAAGCATCTTGAATATGTGTCCTGATTCCAAGGGAACCCGAGAATGGTTTTCTGCCTCCCCAGATTTCCCATCAGCTCTCAGAGTAGGAACTTCGGGTTAACAGCCACGCAAAGTTGCAGCCCTGAATCCACTCACTGTTCTTATACTCTGTAACACACAGACACAAATCTTTTGTGATACCTGTGTCAGGAAACTCCTGATAGAATTAACAATGAAAATGATTTACCTGCCCAGTTTATGGGCAGAGTCATGAGCGATTATCAGCTGTACTGTCASAGCAAACCTGATAAAGCTCTGGGCATTTTTCACGGTTCAGAAGCACCRAGCAATGTGATTGACTTGGGAAGTTTGTTTTGCACAGAAATTAATGCCCCATAACCCTCAACCATCATCCTGCTYACCCCATATGTTTTGTACTTTATGACTAAGGTGACTTTTTGCATTCAAAAAAACCAGCCAACCAACTGAAAACTAGTGAATTGAGTGAACATGCCTAAATCTCTAATTCCAGCTCCATTGAAGTTGAGGGTTTTCTGATTTCTTTAATCTCGTGGCTTTGTTTCAAAATTATCTGCGTAGTCTGTAAAATTTACTTCTTATTRACTTTATAATCCGTTCCTTCTTTAGACAAGTTTCAATTAAAAACGTGTTTATTTAATGGCACTTTTTATTCAAAGAAGCTTTGTCCTGTGATCTGGCCARAATAGGAGAGTTCAAGTGGCAAGGGGGGAAGACATGTACGACACAAATATGAATTTCAGTTTATGTGCTGACCCAAACTGTAATTAAATACTCTAAAAGATTCATCTGTAATTAAATAACCTCAAACTAAATAAGCTCAAGGATTAACTGAGCTCACGGGAATCCCCATGTCTCACCTTTGGAATAAATTATGAATGAAATACAGACAAAGAGGAGAAATTTCACTCCTTTTGTCCAGTCCTTTCCACTGGAAGRGTCTGCTGGAGTGTGGAATGAGCAGACTCCACGAGACACCAGAACTCCCTTCTGACTGCATTTTTGATAACGATGTGTCAAGCCCCCAAACATGAGTTTATCAGTGATTAACACAGAACAGAAAGCTTCACAGAGGCCAAGAATCTGMAATCATTTCACCCTTGCTCCAAGTGCCATCTTGGTTGCTGAATTCAACACAAAGGAGGGGTTTACACTCTGTGTCCCAGGGAAATAGCAATAATTCTTAGAACTTTGCAAATTACAGCGGGGAGGTGGAAGAGGAGGGAAAACCTCAGCGATGTAAAATGACACTAAGCCACCGCTCTAATTCCCAAAAGAATGTTCTAGGGCTTTAGCCTCTGCTGCTGTTTCTCTGCTTGTTCTGCATGTTCAGTACCAGCTTTCTCCAAGCTGCAGAAGGATCCGATTAAGCTTTTTTATTAGGAACACATGTTGTGGGCAGGTGTGTCCTGTCAGCCTGTCAGCCTGGGAACGCACCCACTGAGGAGAGACCATGGAGCTGGGGCATCCCAAACACTCTGCAGGCAAAAAACAGAGTGGGAAAGACAGGAATAGACAAGTGTGCCCAGAGGGAATGAGGAAAACATATGTCTGAGCATCCCCCTGCCCCTCAGTCCTCTGAAGTTAACTTTTTAAAAGAAAGTTGAAAACTGTTCATGAAACAGCAGCGCTGAATGAAGGTGCTGGAGCTGGGGAAGAGTAAATTAGAGAAAAACCTACAGAAAGGGAGCAGCTGGCTGCCAGTGTGCAAAATACACAAGGGATGGGAAGAAAAATTTTAGGTGTTACTTTTGCCTGTGTAAGATCTTAGCTCTAATCTACCTCTGTCCTAGGGAAGATTCTCCARATCTTCTCTCAACAAACTTGCCACGCTTTTTCCAGCACAGAGAATAGGTGCAAAGTCTTTTCCTTCAGGGCAGATGCATTCTAGATTTCATTTCTAATTAGAGCTAATGAAGTGTGCACACAGTCATCAGKGCAAGAGGGGGAAATGAAGAGATGGCTGCCGTGAGAAAGCAAAAATCCAGCTTGTGAAAGAGCCACTGTGACCAGATAGCAAAGAGAGGCAATCAAAATCCTTTAATTCCTTGACCTTCTTTACTCTTTGGATGCAATTACAACCACTGAAAATCTACCTTCTGCCAAGAGCAAGGCATCTCTTGTGCGTTGGTTCTCACATAACATCTGCTGTCAAGGCTTGCATTGCTGCCTTCCTGGGAACCTTCCAAGCTGTCAGTCTGAGTGAAAACAACAGACAGGCAGGCAGGCAGACATTTCCAATTTCTACCCCATTCAGTGCAGCCTCAGGAAAAGCCTAACCCTCCCCACTCCCAGAAGCACCATCTGGGCAGCCCAGAGTTATGCCAGGTATTTCAGAGCTGGGAATCACTCCTCTGCCTGCTGGCTGGCGAGTTTGGGATGTGCAAGATGAATCCTTGCTAAGACAAAAGCAAAGCAGGTTCTTATCTTGACAAAGTAGCTGCTGCTGCATTTCCTACCTGGCTTGGTAGGATTACTTTTACAGCTCATTTCTGTACCAGGACAGACTTTTTAGATGTTGCCACAATAAGCTTTTTCCTCTCATGTGTTTTGTGCTAAAACATTGAGAAAGATTTTCACGCTGGGCCCTACAGCTACTTGTACCATGTGTGGTGACTGATGTGCCCAAGTTTGATTWTGCATTCCAGATTAAAGGAATTGCTTTTGCCTTCAAGGAGTACAGACAAGCTMTGAGCAAAAGCAGACTGAGACCTTATGTATCCTCAAACGTGTGCCCAGGAGCAGGATGATCTGATCAGCAGGAGTCAAGCTGGCAGCCAACACTGTGCTCACCATATGGGCCCAGGTTTGCTTTCCCTCTCCTTTGGCATTCAAGACTGAATTCAGAAGCCTTGCCCCAAGTACACAACACTGCAATACAGTAGTCTCAAGGAATTAAAACTCCCAGAAAAAAAAAAAAGTGTTCACAGTTGAGCAGTGCATGTTCAAACAGCGTGGATTTCACYGTTTTGTATCTGAGGTAAAAAAAACAAAAAAAAAAGCAGAACACCCTCTTCCCCCACCAACTTTTAAAAAAACATTAGACAAAGCAAAAACAAACTACAGAAAGCACAATTTTGCCTGTCCCTTGCCCTTCCTAACAGGGAACTGAYTATTCTGGTCTCAAACAAGGAGGGAACTAGGTCATGTCTCTTGTGCATCCCCTGAGCCTTCAAGTTGCTGGTTGTGTTTTTGTACTATTGATCTGTGTCCCTGCCTGTCTGCAGCACTGTACCTGCCAGCACTCTGGGGACAGCTGCCTGTAATAAAACCTGCCTTCAAGTGGGATAAAGAGAACAGAAAAAGGTACTGGCAGGGATCAAACAGTTGACCCTCAGAGAGTAAAAAGGGAGAGAACTGGCTGACTGCTTTTAGGCAAGGTCTGAGGGAGAATGAGAAGACTTGCTCTTTGCCTGACCTCAAAGCAGAGGGGAAAAACTCCATTTCTCCCAAAACATGACAAAATTATATGAGCATTTCAGTGCCAGCAGCAGTTACAGACCTGGGGTTTAAAAACTCCACTTTTATTACAGGACRAGTAGAAATTTAGTTCACTGCCCATAGGGGTTTCTTGCCTACAAGTATTTTAACCCCATTTCCAGGGTTTAGGATTCAAAAATTTATTGCGCTTTAAATCTCAGGGAGAAAGAGAAAATATTTCCCTAAATCCTATTTTGTGCTACATTTCCCTCCTGTCTCCCCATCTGGCCCTCAGAGTTGTTTTGCAGATGCACAGAGAATATTGTCATGTGCCTTTGGGAAGAAGCAGAGGAGCAGCCACTGCCAGACACTGAGYCCTGTGTATCAGTGTGATCACTGAGCCCAGGGCCACGTGCCCGAGTCAGCTGCCAAAACCCAAAAATCTCCTCCAAATAAACTCAGGACCATGTGTTGGCTCAACCTCTAGCTCAAGGCACAGGGGCTGTGCCAGCTCAGGATGCTGAGAGTGAGAAACCTCTTCAAAAAGGGATGTTCTGCAAAATCTGTCCTTGTTTCACCAAACTCGGGTACAGCACCAGCTCAGCACCATCAATCCTGTTCCACTTTCCAGAGGAGAGCAGGTTCTGCTCTCCAGGACACACAGCTTTGCCTTCCTCACACACAGCCCTGGAGGCAAATTGCAGACAGTTTCACACAGATCATTTTCCCTGGAGGAGAACTGGTGGAATATTAACAGCCAGCACACGTGTCAGGGAGCCCATCCAACTCAGGAAACAGGAGCTTCTGCCTCTTTGTGACATGGCAAGAAAGGGGCTGAGCCTTTCCCCCTCCCTGCGGTTCACTGGGTCACACACATCACCCCAGCTAATAGGAAATGCAGGATCAGGACAGTGGGAAGCTCTACCAAAAACGTGCAGAGAAGTACTTGGCACTCCAGAAGCTTGAAATATCTCTGTTTCTTATCCCTCAAAACAGGGGATTTAAACAGGGCAAGTTGCCTTTCTTTTTTATTTTATTTTACTTCTTATTGAAACAGGGCAAGTTGCCTTTTTTATTTTATTTATTTCTTATTTAAACAGGGCAAGTTGCCTTTCTTTTTGAAGCCAAAACTGAAAGCCAAAATGTGAATGGTTCACCAATTCAAACTTGTAATTAAAGCCGTTAACCCCAAAGTAACAACCCAAAGCAGATCAGAGATGTGGGCTGTTAACTCTAATGCAGCCACAAAACTTAAGAGCACAACCAAAGTGTGGGGCAAAATGGACATTTTGTTTCAGATTATTTCACAGACAAGTGAGAATCAATTAACAGTGAACAGTTAAGGACCCTGCGTTTTTGCAGAGTATTTTCAAAAGCCTGAGGAAGACTTGGATGAGGAAAGAGTTAAAGAAAACCTTTAGTGAATATACCTCGGGTGTCAGCAGAAGGAAAAGGTGCTGCTTACTGCCTYCTAAAAGTTTATTCTGTTTTCTGGAGGTTCTTCACAACAAATTTGCACGTATGTACCTCACTACCCATCACTGAATCACAGGGATAGGAGCAATCCTTCACAGAAACATGGAATTGTTAAGGTTGGAAGAGACCTTTTAAGTCAATCATCAACCCGGCATCACCACCACATTCATCACTRAACCACGTCCTCAAGTGCCATAACCACACATTTTTTGACCATTTCCAGCTATGGTGACTCCATCACTTCCTTGAGCAGTCTGTTCCACTGCTTTACAACCCTTTCTGTGCAGAAATTGTCCCCAATATCTAAACTAAACCTCCCCAGTGCAATTTGATTCCATTTCCTCTTGTCCTGTCAAAACTTGCTCTCTTCACCCTCCTCCAGAAGGGTCTCTGTCCTTGTCACAACATGAATTCCCACACCCCACAGGGATGCAGAACCCTTTGTTATTGTATGGCTGCACAGAGGCATTACTTCAGGCATCAGGTTGCTGATACCCATTTCCAATTCTTCCAGGCAATATTTATTTTGGAACAGAGAACGGGCGAACAATCAAACAAAACACATTCACAGAGGCTTTTGCAATCAGACAGCACAAAAAGCATGGAAAACAGAGGCCAACCTCTGTGCCTGCAAAAAACCAAAGCCAAACAGGATCTGGTGATGAATTTCTCCCTCCCAGAGATGGACTCACCGCGATGAGGATCTGGAAGGAGCTGTGCATGACCTCGATGTAGCGATACTCCAGGGCACAGCCGATGACAGAGATGTAGGAGTGGCTGTCCAGCCCTTTGATGCCCGACATGGACGCCTCCTTCCTCACACAGCCAGGGCCATTCTCGCTCCACCACGATTGGTGCCGGGAGATGTTGAAGGTCAGGAGTTCGCTGTCCTAAAGAGAAAAGTCACAGAGAGATCTCAGTTTACACTGAGAGGGTCAGATGTGCTGTCAGGTGGAGCGTTAAGTGAACAGAAAACTCAGAGTTTCTGAGATCCCCATTCTAAAAAAAATGCTGGCACAGATCAAAGCACATTGGGTTGATATTCCTTCATAGAATCARGGAATGGTTTGGTTTGGAAGGGATTTAAATACACCTTCCACTATCCCAGGGTGCTCCAAGCCCTGTCCAACCTGTCCTAGGACACTTCCAGGGATGGAGCAGCCACAGCTYCTCTGGGCACCMTGTGCCAGGGCCTCCCCACCCTCACAGGGAACAYTTTCTTCCTCTTTTCTAAACATATTTCCCAGGTAGACTGCTGTGGTGAGAGCCATTCCTGATGGAGTCCAGCAGCAAACTTATTTCACCATTCTTTAGCACAGCTTGGACACAGGCTGCAGAACAAAGAACACTTTGCTGGTGGTTTCTTCACCCAGAAAAGAATCTTCAAGTTTTGGGTTTGGGAGATGAATCTCACAACTCAAGAAGAAAAAGGTAAACAAGATAGCACAAAGTGTCCTGCCAGGATCCGCCCAGCAAGGGAATCAACACAAGCAACTGGAAAATATGAACTCCATCACCCCAAAGTGAGTTTCAAAACCCAATAGATCTTCCTCTGTTCCTAGCTTTTAACACTTTTGACAAGATCCTGTAYCATTTTTGCCTGATTTCCTTCCACACTCTTCACATCTGGYGCTTCTGCATCTCCTGTCAGCCCCAGGTCAGCTGAGCTGACCTCATGGTGGTGACTGCAGCTCCTCATAAACACCTCCCCTGCAATTCCTTATCAACTTTACCTCGGGAGGTTTTTTGTTTTGCTCTCTTGTCTTTGTTGGTTAGATACTTTAAAGCAGTTGGGAGGGTTAGAGAGTGAAGTGCCACACAAGGAGTGCAGGGCTTTGGTGTACAGCCAGGTGTTTATTTAAAAATGACCACACTTTCCTCACACTTAAAGAGAAAAATTATGGGAATACTCAGAAGAGCTTTGGGATTTTGAGCTTGTAGGACATGGCAAAGCCCTCCTGCAGGTAAAAGACTAAGTCAGGACTGGTTGAACAGCTGCATCCCTTCATGGATTAGTGCCAAGTGCTGGCTGCCCCTGAAACYCTCAGGCCACTTGAATGCAGAATCAAAAATCCCTTTTCACCACAAAAAAAAAAATAAAAGAAAAGAAAATAAAATAAAAAAAAGGGTTGGACATTTTATTCTGAAGGACAGATTAAAAAATTTTAAGTGAGAATCTGTATCTCTATAGAGAGAGAGGAATGGTGAATCCAGAGCCCTCAGCAAACCATTACTAAAAGTTTTAGCACCTATCCATAAACTATTTCACACTTCTTGTGCCAGGGTCCTACACAGCCCCAGGAGGAAAGCAGTGACTCCCAGAACAGCAGCAGTCAGAGCTTGGGGTATTCACACTTCAAAAGATGGAAAACCTCACATGGCAGCTCCTTTGTGTCAGCTCCTCATAAAGCCAAAAGGAAAAACAGATTCAGAGCAGCTCATCCAAGCCCCTGCTCCAAATTATCCCACAGAGAGAGGGCCTGTCCACACAGCAACACAGCAGCCAACCAGGCAGTGCTGCAGACACAGAAAAGCATCTCCAGGGCCAAAYTGGAGTCCCAGGGGCAGGATGTGAGTGCCAGAGGAGCTGGTAGCAGACACCAAGAGCCCCACCCTGGACCCTCCGGCCACCACAGACACCCAAAGCTGCTGCTGCAGGGAGCACATGTTGAGAAATGTGGACAATTAAGTGAGAAGACAGCTGCCAAGCTCCTGACACAATCAGCACAGCAGATGGCACGGGTTTTACGAGAGGTGGAGCAGGGCACGGAGATGGAGCGTGGAACTGCAGAGCAGCAGAGACAACAGGGAAACTCCACTAACAGCTGGGAGTTCAGCCCTTGGCTGGGCTTCACCCTTCAGTGCCCCACAGCTCACAAGTTCACCAAATCACAGCTCTTCTGCAAGGCTTTTTTTTTTTTTTTTTTCTCCTGAGTTGATGTATTCCTGGATTTTCCCAATCCAACCCCAATCCCAAAAGCCAAAGCTTTTCCTCCTGGAGACAGCCAGCTCTCCAAGTGGCTGGGCTCTTCTCCCTCTCAAAATCCACTCATTGCTTTGGTTGGGAAAAGAAACAACCATCTTTCTCAAAAAAACCCGAAAAAACAAAACCCCCACAAACAAACAAACAAAAAAAAACCAAAAACCAAAACAACCAAGAAACTCTCCAACTGAATTCCCATTTCTTTTCTTGGGGCTCCCCCCAATTAGCACAGAACCAAATCTGTTTCCAGGATCTACCCTCARCCTCATTCCCCAGGGTTTCCCTCTCCCAGCTCACAGATGGTGCCTTCCCAAACCTTCTGCCTCACCGACGCACACAGACCCCTCAGTGCCTTCCCTGCTCCTTACAGAGYCATCAGTGTGTGTTTGGCAAAGTGAGAAATGGGCTGTTTTCCTTCTAGAATCTCCCTTTGGTCAGCCCTCAGAGATTTGGCTCTGGCTTAACTTCTCTGCTTGTAAATTCAGCCTGAAAAAAGCAGAGCAGGTGTGGCTGCAGGAGGGCAGGTGGAGGAACAGGAGGTCCCAACCAGCACTCACTGCTCTTTGCCCACAATAACACTCCAGCAAAAAAAAAAAAGAAAAAAAAAGTTAAAAAATTATATATCAGTGAAGAACAGATTGGAAAAACYGAGCACATTTGGATTCTAAAAGCACCGCAGTGCCTCGCACTCTGAGCCATCCATCTCGCAGATGCARAGTGAATACTGATCACACTCTGGGAGCAGGGAATGTCTGTTCAGAGCCACCTTCCCGAGCCAGAACCTGCCTGGAGCACAGGGGCAGCACCAGCCACAGGGTATCAACATGCAGAGAAGGTGTCAATATGCAGAGCAGCGCTGTTGCATCTCTCTGCCCCTCGCTGGATGCTCTCAGGGGATACCCGTGTGATGGGATGAGATAAAAGAGCACTCAAGAAAATCCCTGAATTGACCTCCAGGTGTTTAGGGTTTCTCCAGGGGTTCTCCTGTGGTTTGCTGGCTTCGTYTGWRAGARGAYAGTTTGAGAGAAATGAAACCATGAWYTAGAACAGCACACAAAAATCAGGAGGAAAGAAGCAGTTTTAAGGAACTTTAAGGAGCAGCTGTTTCCCAAAAGCTTTCTGCGAGGCATTTGAAATCCAAACACGCTGAAATGCTCCCAGAGGCGGAATGTGGGTTGGGAGATGTTGATGAGCCCCAGCAGCGAGCCAGCCCTGCTGCAGGGAGAGGGATCCGTGTGTGYCTGCCCTCCCCTCTCCTCTTGCCAGGGCCATCGCTGCCTCTTGAACTCCAGCCTGGAGAGGAACTCGAGCCATGAGTGAKCCAAGCTCCTTCAGGAGCCAAAAAATCCCATCTGACTCGAGCTGCTGTAGCACCTGGCTGTCCCCTGTTTGTCACCGGTGTGAGAGGGAAGACAACAGCACTGAAATTGCAGCACCTACATTGCACAGAGCCTSTTGTCCCCACTGTGTCCCACGGGAAACTCACACCTACCTCCCACACCCACGGAGCCAGCTGCATTCCTTTGCTAAAATAGCTTCCTGAAAGCTGTTCTGAAATTATTTTCTAAGGGACACTATCAGAGATGGTTTTATTTCTTGTTGTTAACAGCCTTCTGAACTGCCTCCCCCAAATTTCCTTAATTATCAGGCAAGACTGCTGTAGGATGGCTGTGGAACGAACTGAACCTCATTTGGGAGCCACCAGAGCTTGACAGCAGCATCATTTTAAATCTTTTTAGATGGAAACATTTCTTATTAAAATAGGAAATCTCATGTTTGTCTTTCAGGGTCCTGTGTGCCGAGTATCTGCATCTCCTTGAGACACAGAAACATTCCCAGTGCCTCTCAGCAGTCTTGTTGACAATGCCACAGCATTTAAAACCCAAATCCCAGGCTTCCAGCTTCTAAATTTAGAAGGAGTTGAGGGACAGTTTTAAGCACACATGCATTTATCCATCCTCCTCACAGTATTTTAACCAGGTACCGAGTCAGCCCAAGGTGCTTTCCAGATTCTGTGAAATTCAAATAACCCCCGTTTGACTCACAAGGGCTGCTTCCATTCTAARAGGAGATTTAGACCACCACAGCTCTGGATTAAGATCAAAGAAGGGCATAGACAAGAGAGAATATAAAAGAAGGGTAAGAAAAAAAAAAAATTAGAAATCACCATTCAAGATGAATAATTACAGAGGGAAAAGACAAAAGAATACATTGAAATACAGAATGCTAATTCCTGAAAGCTCTCTGAACATTTCTCAAGTACATGATGAAGAGTCAGTCAGCATGGCAGCTGGACAGACAGATGCTCATATGTCTTAACAGCAGGATTTTAATAATTAACTCAGACTGAGGGGTTGCAGGAGGGATGTGTTTCACGCTCGAGTAGCCAGGGAGAAGCTCAAACASAGCCTGGAAACCTCAGAGCTGGCTCCCAGCAATTCACCTACCCAAACTGGCCAAATGGACACGGGGAAAGGGGGACATGGGACAAGAGGAGGACACTGCAAATTGGGATATGAGCCCCACCACAGAGCAGGGGCACAGCATTTGGAGAGGCTGCATTTCCCCCTCACGCTGCAAAGTGTGCTCAGGATTATGAGCAGAGCAAGTCAGCGTGGCAAYGCTGCCAAAAGCTGCTCAGAGACATCATCACCACCTCCCTGCCAGGGCTGAGAACAGCTCTGTGAATCCAGGGTGCTCCAGCACTCGCCTGCTCGCTGGCAGAGCACTTCCAGAGAAGCTGGCCCAGGTTATGTGTTTGGGGAGGCCCTTCCAGCAGCAAGGGAAGGGCTTCCYGAGACATTTGTGCTGATCCACCTGTGTCTGGACACCTAAGGAAGTTCTGCTGGGCCATATTTCACACTCTACTCCTGCTAAGAAAAGATTACAAGATTTAAAAAAAAAGCTGGCAAGATGGAAAGACAGAAACGGGGTCAGTTTAGTTTTTCCAAGAAGCAGGGAATTGGTTCAGTGAKCAGTAAAATGTATTTTCCTTTTCAGTAAAAACTCATAGCTGGGTARTAATTAGTTATAACTCTCCTGAGCAGGGCTGGCCAGAACAGCATCCTCAGGGATTCCATGGCCAGGAGACATGGAATGGACATGCTGGAGCAACCTGGAGGATAAAGGAGCACTGCAGGAAACGTGAAAGACAGGAGGAAAGAGAGGGTGAGAAGTGGTGGCAGACAACACAATGGAGGAAAGAGGCAGCAGAGTATAATTCCTTGGGCAGGAAAAGCAAACAGCCAAATTGCACCTGGCAGCCCTTATTCCACTGATGAACTGAAGTTTATAACTGAGGGATTGTCTCAGCCCTTTGCCAAATCACTCATGGGCTGTCATGGGGCTGTGGGGTCCCTGGTTTCTGTTTGTTGGTTCAGACAGACACCCAAAGCACAAGAACAATATCCCTGCTCTTGTGAAGCAAACAACACTCCCCTGCTCCCATCCCGTGTTCCTTCACCACTGTGAAATCAGAGCCAGGCACCACAGCACAAAGAATTATTTGCAATAAGTGCACGTAATTTTCCAGAAACACTGGAATCCTTTCTCTCCTTTCTCTCCCCACCTGAGTTATCGCCTGTCTCAGCTGCACTGGGCTGTCTTGACCAGCACCAAGTTCACAAACCCCCTCTCTCCAGCTCCTTGCCCTCTCTGCATTCTGTCACCATCACTGAGCAGCTGACAGAGCCCACCTTGGCAGAGTGAGTGCAGGGCTGGCAGGAATGCTCCTCTCCCACTGCCCAGGCTCACCAGGGATCACAGAGGCAGCAGCACCCTGAAGCAGCACACTTCTTCAGAGCTCTCAGCCCTTAGGGGACTTGCACAGGAGCACAGCCCTGTCCAAACACTCCCCAGTGTGTTCATGCTCAGTGTAGTAGTTAATGAGTAGTCAATGAGTTTATCAGACCAGCTCCATCAGCCTCATTCCAATGCTCTTCTTCCAATATTTGCAATTTCCCTGCCTGCTGCCAGGCTCACGGTGAGCTTTGATTTCTTATCAGGAGCTAGAGGGCAGCCTGGTCCCGAGGGCACCCAGAGGTGCCTGCAGCACTGCTGCCATCCATTCCAGCTGAAACCACCCTGCCCTTGCCCCTGCAAGGTCCAAGCTTTGCTAATCCCAGCCCAGGTATCCTCCTGGGCTCTGAGATCAYTAAAACACCAGCAGGCTTTGGATCAGCTTTCCAGAGATGCTGCAGGAGGGAGCCCAGCCTGTGAAGCTCCACAGCATCCTGCACAAAACTCAGCTCCTGCTTCAGGTGGCTCTTYTGGTCTCTTGTGGAAGAGAAGATTTATTTTGCCACTACAAAGACCCAAATTACTTCAGTGACAGTGGAGGAGGTTGGAAAGCAGCATCATTAGTTTTCCTTACAAAACAGCTTTTTTTTTTTAAAGCGAAAATAACTCATTAAGAACAGAGGCAAGGGTGTCAGCTACTTTACTGCCAAACAAGCACAAATTCTCTCTTGGCTTTGCTGGTTGCCACTAAATAAACTGATTTCTCATTGCAGCCCTAGAGGGAAGTCCACCGAGTCAGTAACAACTTACACCACAGTCCAATTCTATAAAAAATGTCCCCAGTCACAAGTGTCACCCTGTAGGCTAAATAAAGCCTCTCTGTGTGCTGGCTTGGCTAAAACAAGCCCCAGCACAGAGCAAGGTTACCAGGTGAATCTCCTGTGAGGTACAAAAAGAGGAGCTTGTGGTGCTGTTTGAATTACAGAACAGCAACACGACGTGTTGCAGGGCAGGTTGGGATTAGCAAACACGAGTATCCAGCTGGCTGGAAGCAAACAGAGAGGGCTCTGGCACTCAGAGAAGCTCCCAGAGCAGTTYATCAAGCCAACATTTTCTCTGCAGAAGGGAGCATTTAAATAGTTACATAAAATTCCCTTTTTTCAGTTGGTCGCAGCCAATATTGAGAGCRTCTCAGGCTGAGGTTTCAGACCATGAATAATCACTGTTTTGGGCAAGAACTCCCTCAAAGTTTCTGAGGATAATTGAGAGGGGAAACAAAGATGAATTGARACATTAGGAAGTTCCATTTTCTTATCTGCAAAGGATTTATGCTGCCACTCTTGACTTGCTGTAGGCCTGATAAAAACCACAGGGCAATTCCAATTACAACTGCAACTCCAGTGCATGACCTGGGAATTCAGGCCAGATGTGGAGTGCTCTGAAATGAACMTGCATCCCACAATCACTCTGAGTCTGGCAACACTCATAATTCACTGCTTACAGCACAGCCTTTATTTAGGGCCTGCCTCCTGTTTTTATTATTTCTGACTCACCCCTCATTAGGCAGACAGCAATCCTCAGCTAATCTAGTCTTCAAAGAGCTTTGCATATTAACTCACTACACCCTGGCCAGCAGCCATGAGTGACTACCACTGCATTTGAGAAGGAAGAATTAAGGCAGGGAAGGCACATCCCGAGGAGATGCTCAGTTTTCCCATCCCTAGGAAGGGATGATCTCTGTCCAGCAGAGAGAGGAGCCTCTCCCCAAAGGTAGAACAGGAAATATTTTGCCTGCTGTGCTATTTTGCCAGGGCTTCAGCAGGACTAGGAGGCACAAAAATATCAAGAGCCGGATAGAGTCCAGGCAGACCCTGGGACAGGCTGGTGGAAAGGCCACGCTCAGAGCTGCTTGAGGGCCTCCCCTCCATCACACACATTCCCAAGGAGGTCTCAGATCCCAAGAAGATCAGCTGCAATGGAGTGATCCCCTAGTTCAGCTCAGCCATCTCTGCATCATGGCTGGGAGCTCAAACCCCCTCTCCTCTCTGCAGGGTTCTGCTGCCAGACCTGYTCTCACCTTTGGAAAGCAGATATACTCCACCTGCTGTGAGGGCAGCATTTATCCCAGCCACCACCTGCACCAGCCAACAAAGAGCTCCAGAAATCAGCAGTGCCCCCTCAGTTTTCCATACAAGCAGCAGAATTACCCCATCCCTGGTAAAGCAGCCCTCTCCACGGGCAGGAAAGCAGGATCTGCTCCACAGCATCCCCCACCCTTCACCTCAACCATCCCAGCCCTCAGATCCCTCCCCTGAGCMCTCACCCATCCAACTCCCACTCACCTTGGAGAGCCCTCCCACTTCTAAGTAAAAACAGATGATGAAGATATTCCAGGTGACCCAGATTGCAGTCCAGATGGCATACTGGAAAGGAATGGGATTGGGGAGAGAGAAGCAACAAACATTAGGAAGTCACTGGAATTATTATAAATGTAAACATAAGAATAAACATCTATAGATATATAGATGATATACAGATATATAGATGTAGAGATATATATGGATATATGGATATATAGATATACAGATATATAGATATTTAGATATATATGTGCTCTCTGGGGCAGTGGAATGCCTTGAGTCAGCACAGCAATCTTTTTTCTCTTCCTCTGTTTGTTTTCCATGTGCAGATGCTCTGTTGCCTGATTAGACACACAAGGGCAGGGTTTGGAGGGATGGAAGAGCTCCTGTGCTGTGTTTGCCCAGCCCCTCACCCTCCCTCCCCGTGGGGCAGAGTGACCTTAGAACCAGCAAGAATTACCCAAAACCTCCCCAGTTTGGCACTCACTGATCATGTTCCTGAGCACTAAAACAGCCTGCAGGGCTCATKCCTGATTTCCCAGGGGTTTCACCCCATTCCTCATGGCTGCACACCCCAGGGCAGCCCAGGCTGGGGGCAGAAGGTGCCACTCACCACCACGATGTAGCGGGGTCTGTACTGGATGGTGCCAAACAGCCCCAGGATAACGATGATGATGTGCAGGAAGTTGGCCAGGATGGGGGCCCACTGGTAGCCCAGAAAGTCAAACACTTGCCTCTCTAGTGCAGCAAGCTGGAAGGGAGAAGGAAAAGGAGAGTTACAGCTTCTGCACACACAGAGTTTATGGTCAGTGTTTTGACACAAACCCTGCACASCTGAAGGTGGGACTCGGTTCCCAAAACAATTTGCTGCCAATGAAGCAGGTCAGTAGGGCACAAGGCTCGTTTACACATCCCCCTTCCCCTCTGGTCCCATCCCAGCTCCTCTGATGCCTGTTCTCTGGTGCTCTCTGGGGTATTCCTCTGTGGTGTGCACTTTGGGATCTGGCAGAGGACAGAGGGGCGCAGCGGGATGGTAACATCTCAAATGTTGAACGTGAAATACATTCACAAAAATGTCRGTCTAACTTTCCAGAGCTCATTTGTCAGAGSCTTCAGCATCACTCCATCACTCCTGACACCTCCTGTGTTTCTGCTCTCCAGCACACATCCATCAAAGTGAGGGAGAAGAGGAAACTCTCTCCTCCACCTTCGCCCCTCAGAAAATGCTGCCACCAGTAAAGAAATTCTGCAAACACATCAGTTTCCCAGGACAGGCTGTGCTCCTCTCCAGCACTAATAACATGGTTCAAGGCTGAACCGTGTTCTAGAAATAAAACACCATTACTGTTGGGGCACTGGGGCCGATTTTCAAACCATATTTGCATAAAGATGTGCTTTTCACCTGTAGCCATCATSTGTGCATCAGACAACATCTGGTCCCCTGGCCCTGAGCCTCTGTGCAATTGCCTGCTGGCCTTTGCATGCTCACAGCCTTTAAATGCTAGATCTGTAGGAGAAATCTCAACTGTAGGGGGCAAAACAGTTCCTACAGTTTTTACCCCGTGCCCAACCTTTTGTGGAGAGATCTTCTCTTTTTTTTTTGTCTTCACTAACACAGTGCAAGCTCCTCCATGGACCTGTGCCTTCCCTGCCAGTGTAAGATTTGAAAGTATGTTTAATTACCACAGTAGCCCACTGGGATTGCATTATGACATTTCATATTTATTTTTTTTCCTTAAATAAATCATTACAGTTTACTATTGGCAGTCAATATTAATTTAACTCCTAATTAGGCATTAAGCATGGGTAATCCTGGTCTGCTGTGTGTGTAATCAGCTATGTGACACCTTTTCCTGGCTAAGAGATAAGCACCAAGGCTTCTGTGCTGGCTTAAAGAATTGGAGGATGTGAGTGGCTGCATGTGCCACACGATGAGAAGCCACATCTGTTAAATGACCATTATTCCTCCTTCTTCCTGGCTCAGSGGGGAAATTGCCTTCACACCTCTCTTGGCCCAGGAAGGTATTGCAATTCCMAACACTGCCTTGAAAGTTCAATAAAAATCTGTATTTCAAAGAAACCTTTGGTTAAGGGGGATCAAGACAGGGAGGGGGTGAGCAGCTTTCCCTCTCTGACATCTTATTCCTAAAYGAAAAGGGACAGAGAGACTGAGGAGGGAATGGGGGCAGCCTCCAAACCTCTCTCTTCTGCCAAGTAATCTTCCTGCAGAAGCAGCACATTCTGCCCTGCTCTGATCCCTCTGAAGATGCTGTGGTCACAATCGTGGTTCTGGGAATGGTTTAGGGCGAGTGCTGCTCCCCCCAGCTCTGCCGGGTCTCCTGGAAACACCCGCGCAGGTTAAACGCTTAATCCTTTAGGAGGGGATTAACGCTCATACCTTAACGATCTCGGGAAATTTGGGACCCTGACTGGCTGGCAATGCGCCACTTGACTGCAGCCACTTCATCCAATCAGGCATTTAATGGGATTTGTGCGCCGTGAGAGCCTCGCCCGGCCCGGGSACACGCTGGGGGTGTTGGTGGAGATAACGCCCTGCTCGGCTTCCCCTCCTGCCTTGGGGCTCTGAAAATCGGGATAAACACAGATCCCTCCTCCCCGAGCCTTCTGCCACTCCAGAATCAGGGCAATCCCTGTCTGGAGAAGTGTTTTCTTCTCACCAATGAGTATTTGCCGTTAAAGCTGTAGAAAAAGGGGAAAGCTTGTCTTTCCACAGCCTCGTGATATTCCCTGGCTGGTTTGCACCAGGAAARAGATTACCTGTCACTTGACAGGCCAAACAACCACCCTGGAGATGAAGCTGCCAATCTTCACAGCTTCAGACTGGGGCACAGCTCCTCGAGAGCTCTCTGGATTTTCCCCCATAATCCCAAAAATTATCTTCACACCATACTTTCTCCTCCCTTACCTCATCTCCAGGTTCTTGCCATCCTGATTTACTTTTTTTTTTGCCACTTTCTCTGCATTAAATTGGTTTTGTGTACCTGGGAGCTGCAGGCATGACTCAGCTGGTCCAGGGAAGGGCTGTGCCCATCTGCTGGTTCAGGGAAGGAGAGGGGATGTGGGATGTGCGAGCTCACACAAGCTGTTTCCTCATTTACAAAAATAAAATCGCAATTTTTTTTCTGTGAAATGTGTCGGTGACAAGCAAATGTTACTGATGAGACTCCAACAATGTATTAATGACAGGCAAGGAGTGAGTCTGTGCTGTAATCCAGCCTTTGGAAATGCAGCCTGAAGTTACCCTGGGCTTCCCTCAGTTCCCTCAGGAACTTTCCAAAACTAAGGAAATAYTTGCTGAAAACAAATTGATAAACAACCATTTCACTCATTACACTCCAGGYCTGTGTGCACAGCTTCCCCACTAAATGCTGCTGAGGTTTGCAGGTAAACTGGGCTGATGCTTGGGCTAAATTKGCCTTGATTTGGGGTTGGGATGTGAAGAATGTCATGGTAACCCTCAGTCCTGGTCCCTCCAATYCTGCTCAGAGATGACAGGGTCAGGATTTGCCCTGATCTATCTGTCCCCTCCTACTGAACCTCTCTGGATTCCTCTTGCTGAGCAGGGAAATGCCATCCTTCTCTCGTGCTGCCAAGTTTGTGCAGAGCAATATCCTCGCTGTGGATATTGCTCCTTACAATGATTGCTCCTTACAATGATTCACACTCTCCTATTGAGAAAGCCTATTATATTCCAGAGATATTGGTTGTAAAGAGAAATGTCACAGATTGTRGCACAGGTTTCAACCCACTCAAAGCTGACAGGACCTTTCTATCAGGGAGGACAAATTTTTCTTCTTTATGACTGTTGTTATTAAAACCAGGATTCCTTCTGCTCCTTGAGCTTCTCAAACCCATAGTATATTTTTACCTTTCATTCTTTAAATTAAATGATTTATTGCAGCACTAAAATCAGAGGAGTTGTGGCAGAATTTTCTCCCCTGAAATAAACCACATTTCTGCTGATCTGAGTGAAACTGGAATYGCAAATAACCACGTGAGGGGATTGTTAGCCAGGCAAACAACACAAGGCAAAGCTCTCTCTTGGGCCATCACTCATTTATAGGTCTGGGGAGGATGTGAAAGGCAGAGAGAGGTTCTGCAGCTTGTGGGGTCCATCCCACAGCTCACCCACTGGGAGCACAGAGAGCTCTGGACATGCTCARGGGCATTACACCATTAAACTTCTCCAGAGAGAGAAGCTGTACTGAGCTGGAGGAGACCTCATTGCAACAGAAAATGGTCTTAGAAAATCTCTCAAAACGTGGGACAGTTTCTCATTGTGGGGTTCAAACCATCCCAGTTGTGATTCCAATGGCTCTGGCTGGACAGTGTCACCACCAGGTCGATGCCAGCAGGACACTCCTGGTTCAACATGRGCTGGGGGTGCTTGTTTAAATTCCAACCCCTCAAATCTCCTCTATCCCCTCAACTTTGCCTTGTGTTGCTCCTCTCCTGCTGCTAAGCTGGACAGTCCAGCCTGTTCCCCTGTGCCCCAGGCTGCTGAGGAGGAAGGGATGCTGATGAGCAGTCAGGTACCTGTAATTCCTTAACTCCCTGCCCTTTATAGCCTACTATCAAAGCCATGTTATCAGCTAGATTTGCTCTTCTTAATTTATTAAGCTTTCAAAGCCTTTAATCTTATTTGGTTTGTATCTGTGTCTTTCACTGCATTTCTGAAATCAATTGGGACACAAAAGAAAAAAATATCAGTSTCAAGCCATGTTGACATGACTCGTACAGACACAGGAAAGGTGCTCAGAAAACCCCATAACAGGTACAGCCACACATCCACRTGGATCTTTTCCTGTAAGCAAACCTGCTTTGAACCTTTCCAACTCMAATTTTAATAAGAGATTTATTTTCAAAATGAAATGTTAGAAATAAATATCCCACATGCGATAAAGGGAACTAATGGGAAAGGCTGATCCTACTGCTAGGGGAAAAAAAAAAAACCACAAAAAAAGAGAAGAAAAAATGTTTTACCCATAAACCCAGGCAATTTTCCACTTGACCTATAAGAAAACAACCTGAAAACTCCTTTGCTGCTCCTTGTCTCTTAGTGCTGTGAGGACACAGCCTCACAGACTGCTCCAGCTCCTACTCCTCCTCCACATACAGCCTCAACTGGGACAAAATTCACCACTTAACCCCCTGCCTGTCCTTTCTGTCCAGCCTGAACCCAGCAAGAGCCTCAGCGCAGCCCTGGGTCCCCACCACGCTGCTGGGATGATTTTCTGGGCTCCTGGCTGATCCCAGTGCCCTGATCCCGTTTGATTTCCTGCCAAGTGGCTTCGCTTTTTAAGAAGATGCTCTTTCTTTGTCTGCTGTGCAAACACCACCGGAGCTTTCGCTGGAAAAGGTCAGGGCCTTTTCTTGAGGAGAAACTTGCACTGATTTCCTGAGGTGTTTTGGCCRTAAGATCAGATGGCTGGAGCTCAGGGCAAAGTCACAGTGCTGCTACCCCTATGAGACATCACACAAGGGCGGAAATTTAGATCCTGCTACCTGAAATTGCAGGAAGAAACAAAAAAGTCTCAGATTGCATAATTTGAAAAATACATCTATAGAGTTTAAACACAAATATCTTATTTTTGGTTCCTCCACACTGTTTAAGTTTGGCAACACTGAACACCTACCTGCTATTGATTATTATTATTATTATTAATATATTGGCATTATTATGATATAATATGTAATTCTACACAACTTTCTGTATACAAATGCCTTGAT